AAAAAAAAAAAAAAAAAAAAAAAAAAAAAAAGAAGGAACAAAGAAGAAAAGATATGTATATATCTCTCCTATTCTCCTTTATTAGGGTTTATTAGGGTTTATTAGGGTTTACATGGGGAGAAACACCAAAACGATACATGCAGAATGATGCTGGTTATGATGGGTTAGGGTTTAGGGTTTAGGGTTTAGGGTTTGGGAAGGGTTTAGGGTTTAGGGTTTAGATAGGGTTTAGAGTGTAATTATACAGGGAATAATAGATAAGGGAAAGGAGATGGACGTCATTAGGGTTTATTCATGTTTATTCTTGTTTATTCGGGTTAATTAGGGTTTAGCTAGGGTTTAGGGTTTAGGGTTTAGGGTTTAGGGTTTAGGGTTTAGGGTTTAGGGTTTACATCAAGAACAATAGGAAGGAATAAGTTAACAATTCGTTCATCATCTTGTCTTCTTAATCTATTACATCCTATCTTTCCTGCTGCAATTGCTGCACTGCAGCAGCACCATACTTTTTGTTGTTGCTGCTGCAGCTGCTGCTCCCCTCCCTGCTGCTGCTGTTGCTGCTGCTGCTGCTGCTGCTGCTGCTGCTGCTGTAGCTGTACACAGGAGCCATGTATATGTCTACCGCATGCATGTTTAGTAATAAATAGACCTAATCTTTCTCTTTGTATTCTTTTTAGATAAGAGACAATAAAGGAGACAATAAATAATGTTATATTTATTGTCCCTCTTTGTGTCTCTGTTTGTGGATGTACAAAAGGAGACACTGTCTTTATTAAACATTCTATTATATTAAATGCTGTCTCCTCTCCTGCTGCTGTTGCTGCTGCTGCTCCTGCTGCTGCTGCTGCTCCTGCTGCTGCTGCTGATGGTGATGATGATGATGATGGTGGTGCTGCTGATGGTGATGGTGGGGTTGTTGAGGTAGGAGATGAACCACTTTCTCCTCCTCCTCCTGCTGCTCCTCCTGCTGCTGCTCCTGCTGCTGCTGCTGCTGCTGCTGCTGTAGGTGTGTCAATATGTGCTGCTGCTGCTGCTGCTGCTCTTGCAAGAGCAACAGCTTCTGCTGTATCATCATCTGCATCAGTATTACCATTACTGCTGCTCTTGCTGCTGCTCTTGCTGCTGCTGCTGCTGCTCTTGCTGCTGCTGCTGCTGCTGCTGCTGGTGGTAGTATGTGTAGGCTCAAGGAGCAGCACGAGTATCTTAGCAATAATTTTAGGTGTCTCTATTCTTTTAGGCAGCAAAGGAGACAATTCTCCTGGTACATTTGCTGCGCTGCTGCGTATTTGTTGTGCAGCAGCAGCAGCAGCTTTGCTGCTAGCAGCAAGATCAAAGACACGTAGCAGCAACTGCAGCAACAAAGGAAGCAAAGGACGCATGCAGCAGCAAAGGGGTGACCCTATTGACCAACCATACTTTATTCCTCTCTTAAGGAGACACAAGGAGACAGGGTCCCATGCTGTCTGTACACCTCCATCAATTTGTCTCCATATCTGCTGCAGTGTTTGCTGCTGCAGCAGCAAATGGCATAAAGGACCAGAAGCAAATAGCAGCAGCAAACGTTGACGCAGCAGCAGCAAATAAGATGTCTCCTTTTGTCTCTCTTCTCTTCTTATTAATTCTATTAAACATGTAGATAAACGTCTATATCTACTCATTCCTGCTACTGCTGCTGCTGCTGCTGCTGCTGCTGCTGCTGCTGTTGTTGCTGTTGTTGTTGTTGTTGTTGTTGTTGTTGTTATTTGTCCGTAGTCTTCGTCCTGCTGCATATCCCCCTCCTGCTTCTGCTGCTGTTGCTGCTGTTGCTGCTGCTGCTGCTGCAGCTGCTGCAGTAGCTGTATGTCCTCTTCGTCCCATAAGAAGCGAGCAGCATCAACAAGTCTTACTATAGAGATTAATAACTGTCTCCTTTTGCTGCTGCTAGTAGCAGCAGCAGCACGTATACCTCTATTATATCTCTGCAGCAGCAGCAGCAGCAAACCTTCCCATAGACCATCACGTACCTGCTGCAGCAAGGGCCTTATGTCTCCTTTCCTCCTATAAGTTATACACCTACTATTATTATTACTACTACTACTACTACTGCTGCTGCTGCTGCTGTTGCTGTTGCTGTTGCTACCTATCTGCTGCTGCTGCTGCTGCTGCTGCTGCTGCTGCTGCTGCTGCTGCTGCTGCAGCAACATATAAGAAGTACGAGAAGAAGGATCTAAATAAGATGGAGGTATAAATCTATAACGAAAGGAATCCAATGTTAGCGCAAGAGCATCACATATACGTATAACTAAGGAGACACCTAAACTATCTATATCTGCTGCTGCTGCTGCTTCTGCTGCTGCTGCTGCTGCTGCTGTTGCTGTTGATGCTGCTGCTGTTGATCCTGCTGGTACTCCTACTGTTGAATCCTCATCTCCTGTTAAATATCTCCATACTTGTTCCCAATACTCTGGGGATAAATTAGGGGACACATTATTATTATCTATGGGGCCCCCTAGATGGGGGCCCCCTAGATGGGGGCCCCCTAGATAGGGGCCCCCACCTGTTGGTCCCCATAGTACCCTTTTTAATCCTAATATAATATGTAGATGATCATAAGGAGACAATGCCTCTGTTATTGTATTTGTCTCTATTTGCTGCAGCAGCTGCAGCATAGATAAAAGGAGACACTTATCTTGTCTTAATTTATCTGGTTGCTGCAGCAACTGCAGCAAACGGGTCTGCTGCTGCAGTGTCTCCTGCAGCAAATATTTTGCAGCAAAAGGGGGAAAATGTAATTGAGGTACAAGAAGATAATCTGTCTCTAAATCTAATGGAGGAGGACAAGGAGAATATAATTCTCCTCCTCCTCCTCCTCCTCCTCCTCCTCCTTTGCCCTCCTCTACTGACATTTTATCCTGCTGCTCCTGAAGATGCTGTTCGTTGTGGTGGTGGTGGTGGTGTTGTTGTTGCTGCTGCTGCTGCTGCTGCTGCTGCTGCTGCTGCTGCTGCTGCTGCAGTAGTGGGGGAGAGAGTTAGCTTATATAAGGGGCCTTATATAGGCCCAAAGGCCCTTCTATGGATTTATGCTGCTGCTGCTGCTGCTGCTGCTGATGAGGACACCACAGAGACAATTGTTTCTCCTGTTGCTCCTCCTGTTGTTGCTGCTGTTGCTGCTGCTGTTGCTGCTGCTGTTGCTGCTGTTGTTGCTGCTGCTGCTGCTGATAATGATGATAGTGTTTATGGTGGTTATTATGACTGTGTTAATGATGGTGTTACTCTAGTTGCTGTTGCTGCTGTTTTTCTTGCTGCTGCTGCTGCTGTTGCTGCTGTTGCTGCTGCTGTTGCTGCAGTCGCTCCTGCTGCTGACGATCTCTTGATGTCGTTCCCACTGCTGCTGCTGCTGCTGCTGCTTTTGCTGCTTCTGCTGCTGCTGCTGTTGCTGCTGTTGCTGTTATCCTCACGATCCTGTCAATTATATTGTTCTCAATGTTGCTGTTGCTGCTGTTGCTGCTGCTGTTGTTGTTGCTGCTGCTGCTGCTGCTGCTGCCTTGAGGGGGGCCTCAGGGAGAGGGGCCCCTCTTATGCAGCAAATAACTGCCACGAATTTATAACAAAAAGGAGATAAAAAGAGGAGAATAAATTGAAGAAGGAACTTCTGCTGCTGCTGCAGCTGCTGGTGTTGCTGCTGTTGCTGCTGCTGCTGCTGTTGCTGCTGCTACTGCTGCTGCTGCTGCTGCTGCTGCTGCTGCAGGACAGCGAGTGTGCGTAAGGAATTGTTAAGAGTTTTTGTGTATTTATTGAGACTGTCTTATAATAATTAATAAAATAAAATAAATAAAAAAAAAGGAAAAGTTGCAGCTTCCTCTGTAGGCCCTTCCTCCTCTGCTGCTGCTGCTGCTGCTGCTGTTGCTGCTGCTGCTGCTGCTGCTGCTGCTGCTGCTGCTGGTGTTGCTGCTGCTGTTGCTGTTGCTGTTGTTGTTGTTGAGTTATTCTTGTGTTAGTTAACGCACAAACACCACAAAAAATTCCCTTCTCTAAGGAATGCCGTAAACCCTAAACCCTAAACCCTAAACCCTAACCCGTCGCCTACACACACATTATATATATACTCAGACGTACAGGGTTCAAGGATTATAAATTAGGGTTTAGGGTTTCATGCTCTAAACCCTTCTTACTAATTAATTAAATAAATAAACCCTAGGCAACAAATACACAAAAGAGCAGCAACGATCCCATACGTCAGGGACACCTCCAAACCCTAATAAACCCTAAACCCTAATAAACCCTAAACCCTAATAAACCCTAAACCCTAAACCCTAAACCCTAGATAAGAGACCGCAGTCACTCATAACCAGTAAATTGTATTTCTTAAGAAATAAAATTTAATAAGAATAAACAACGTAGTCTATCTTCAGGACTATAGAAACCCTAAACCCTAAACCCTAGACTCCTAAACCCTAAACCCTAAACCCTAAACCTGAAGGCGCGGCCCTACACCAAAGCCCTTATCATAACCCTAAACCCTAAAAGATAAATTAACAATGTGCACAAACCCTCAGAGAGCAGCAGACGCTCTTCTTTTGTTTAACACATTATGAGGGTTTACATCAAGGGTTTAGGGTTTAGGGTTTAGGGTTGTCTGCATAAAGGAAACTCAGGCAAATACTCACCTAAAATGCAAATGCATAGCTTCCTCTATAACTAAATATTTTTAGGGTTTAGGGTTTAGGGTTTAGGGTTTACACTAAACTCTAAGTACGTAATATATACATAAATATAAAAAATAAATAATAATAATAATAATAATAATAAGAGGTAGGGTTAGGGTTTATATTTATATTTGTATCTATATTTATATTTATATTTATATTTAGGTTTCTAAACCCTAAACCCTAAACCGTAAAACCCTAAAACCCTAAAAGAGCACACATAGTAGCATTGCATTTGTTCTCTGCATGCGCATGTGTGCCTCTTCCTTCCGTCTCTCTTCTACACCCTAAACCCTAAACCCTCGTCTCATATTCAGCCTAAACCCTAAACCCTAGTTGTCTCTTCATTAGCAAACCCTAAACCCTAACTGTTCCTTATTAAGCCTAAAACCTAAACCCTAGCTCTCTCTTCTTATGCAAACCCTAAACCCTAGCTCTTTCTTCTTATGCAAACCCTAAACCCTAGCCCTCCCTTCTTAGGCAAACCCTAAACCCTGTCTCTCCCTTCTTAGGCGAACCCTAAACCCTAGCTCTCCCTTCTTAAGCAAACCGTAAACCCTAGCTCTCCCTTCTTAAGTAAACCCTAAACCCTAGCTCTCCCTTCTTAGGCAAACCCTAAACCCTAGCTCTCCCTTCTTAAGCAAACACTAAACCCTAGCTCTCCCTTCTTAGGCAAACCCTAAACCCTGTCTCTCCCTTCTTAGGCGAACCCTAAACCCTAGCTCTCCCTTCTTAAGCAAACCCTAAACCCTAGCTCTCCCTTCTTAAGCAAACCCTAAACCCTAGCTCTCCCTTCTTAAGTAAACCCTAAACCCTAGCTCTCCCTTCTTAAGCAAACCCTAAACCCTAGCTCTCCCTTCTTAAGCAAACCCTAAACCCTAGCTCTC